CTCTGGGACTGGAATGACAGGCCCCGCAGTGGAATGACAGCCCCTGGGGGTAGCAGGAGTCTTCTAGGACTGGAATGAAAGGCCACACAGTGGAATGACAGCCTCTTGGGGTAGCGGGAGTCTTCTGGGACTGGAATGACAGGCCCCATAGAGGAATGACAGCCCCTGGGGGTAGCAGGAGTCTTCTGGGACTGGAATGACAGGCTCGGACTGAGGCCTGTCTACTCCTCCTCCGGCTTGCTGTGGCCGTTCTGACGTTGAGGAAGCCATCCAGGGTTTTGTGTGTGTGTGTGTAGGACGCCTCTCGCGCCTGATTTTCCAGCTTTGCCGCTGGGCGATCAGCTCCAGGGTTCCCCCCCTCCCCCCGCAGTCTTTGGAAGTCGGCCTTTCAAGCCTTCTGGCCAGCGGTCCCATTCTCGACCCGCTGTGGAGATCAGGCTCGAGGCTTTTCTCCCCACTGAGCAGAGGCACTGGAATGGTCCCTTTAAGAGTTCTTCTGCCCCCGCGTCCCCTCGGCCGGGGATTCCCCCCACCCAGCAAAGGATGTCCCAGCGGCTGTGCCGCGCATCGCCCTCCGGAGGAGTCCAGGCGTGCTGTCAGCAGACGCCCCCCCCCGTCCCGTCCCGTCCCGCCCCGTCCTGTCCTCTCTGGTCGAGTCCGTCCAAGGGCCCGAGGGGGGCCCTTTCAGTGCCTGAGCTGGGGAGCGAGAGGGTTGGGGGCGGGGCTTGGGGCGCTCCAAAGAGGCAGACCTGGCTGGAGTTCGCTGGCTTCTCTCCTGCCTGGCTGCGGGAGTTCTTGGCCTGGCGGCCCACTTCTCAAAGGTAAGGGGAGACCCGGATACCATTCCTCACCGTGTGTGCTTCTTGTGGCCCACAATTTCTCTCCAAAGGCCTCACGACCCATGTCCTGTTGTCCAAGTTCTGGCCAGAACAAAAATACATGCACTTAGTAGAAAGACAATTAAAAACATATAAATGACCCAAGGTCACTTGCACTTTGCAACGTGGCTTTAATTGGGCCCTTATATGGTTTTAACTGTCTTTCTAATAAATACATATATTTTTGTATATAATAAGTTTACACTAGGTTTTTAATACTGGCCCTTTATCAGGCTTCTTTCTTACCCTTGTGGTTCTTGATTCCAGGTATCGGGTCAAGTTTGTTTTCCCCTCCCTGTCTGTTTTCCCTCACCTGAGTTAGCCATTTTTGTCTAAAAAATTAGTGCCTCTTAATTTGTCATTTGGACTATGTTCTACTGCTACAGACTGACACGGCTACCCATCTTCATTTGGACTGTAAAACACTGGAGACTCAACATTAGCCCACAGATTATCTTTTGCTTTCCCACTTCTAATAGTAATAGTATATGTAGGCCTCTGGAGAACTACAGATCCCAAAACTCTCTCCCCTGCTCTTTTCTTTCTTCCTTCTCCACTGATGTTCTAGCCAATGTTTGCTATCTCTATCGTAAGTAAGTAAATATTAGCATTAGAAAATCTGGGATGTTCCTGTTTGGCCACTTGTATAAACAGCTATTACAATGTGCCTTCCTCCAACTGAGAACAAGGGTTTGAAGAAAAGGGATTAATATGCACAGTATACAAAAAACAGCAGAGAGAGAGAGAGAGAGAGAGAGAGAGAGATCCTTGAGACACTCCCAGTCACGGGTTTGATTGAGCCAGTTATATTTGTGTGATGGGTCTGAGAGCAGCTGCAACTACCTAAACAGAGCATAAAAATAACAGCTTGATGAGTAACTATGGCCCCGGTCACACGGGCAGGAAACTGCGGGGGAGAAGCATGGCTGTTTGCCCTGGGGCAAACTACTGCGCAGTTAAGCGATCAGACCTCCCATGGAGGTCCTGTGGAGGTACCGTGGAGGTTCCATGGCAAGGGAGAGGTGCTGATCACAGGACAAGCCGGCGCGCAACGAAGAAGTGCACGCCGCGGCAAACTGTTTTGTTTTTGTGTGTACATGACAAATGCGCATGCTCCATTGGGTGCGTGTGCGCATCCACAGAGACTTGGACAAAAAAACCCCACCTTATTTGCAAGGGGACATGGGCGGGCGCCGGATGCCACCGGAAACGCGATCAGACGCCCGCCCTTGCCCTGCAGTTTCCGGAAACTAGTACCTCCGAGGGACTAGTTTTTTGCCACGCAGTTTCGGCTGGAAGCCTCGGTTGTGCCACGGGAGTGCTACGCTTCCCAGATGTGCTGGTGAGATCGCGCCCAGAAACTCCACCTGTTTTCCGTCTCACTTGTGTGGCTTCTGTTCCGTGTGACCGCAGCCATAGATAGAAATCCAGAGCATATGTTACAACTGCCTTTGGTATGTCACTGAATAGCCTCCCTCTGCCAAATGAACTTGTTTCTGGCCATAAAATACAACAGCATTTACCGCATTAAGTTCCATGTATTGTTTTGTGGGCACAGATAAAAAAACAGTTGTATCTGTGTATAAATTATTAACTGTTCATTAACACTCATCCAAAAGATATGGGGGGGGGAGATACCCAGCTTGATTTAGAGGCCTACTCTGGGTTTCCTTCAGATCTTTGCAACAGATGTGTTGAAATGAAAAGCAAGTCTGTTTCTGCAGACTCACCATTTTGCAACAGCTGCAAAGCTGCACCAGAGCAGAAACACATCATCACCGCCACCTCCACCGCCACTGCCACCACGACCACACTGCAATTCTCCACTCCACCCTCAATGGCCACAAGGATCGTAGAAGAAATGTGGGGTAAATACATCTATATATTATTGCTAGGCAAGGGATTAGTATTATGCATTCAAAATTAAAAAGGATGGGGAGGAGGGTGTACGGATGAGTGGACAGATATGGTAGAGAAGTTGTTGGACTTTGATCAATGAGACTTGGGTTAAAATACTTGTTCAGCCACAAAGCTCACTGGACAAACTTGGCCAGTCCAACAACTGACCAGTAAAAGAGGGGGAAAAAAGATAGAAGTCTGGGAAAGAACTTTGCCTGAGCTGCTTCAAGACAGTGCATAAATCATTGCTGTGACTCAGTATAAGGCAGTTCTTACATCCTTCCTGTGGTTCTGCACGTGTAGTAGCCACAAACAGCACTGAAAACTATCCTAAGAGAAGGAAATGTCCCAACGAAGGGGTTACTAAGAAGACAGAGGCTAGAAAATGTTGTAGAAGGACATTATTCCTTGCAGCCCTCTCCATTGCCTTCACAAACATGTAATCCAATTGATTTTGTCCTTCAGTTCCAGGGCTACAGTGATGTGGACTGTCTTGTGCTCAAGGAACTCTTCCTATGAGAGGAATTAGATATTCATGCTGTACTTACATGGACACAAGCAGACTGGAAATTAGGGAGTGAGCTGCATTCAGCAGCAGCATTCAAAGCTGACATGCTCAAATCTTACAGAATTTATACTGGTTACTAGCATTCCTTGTGTAAGTAAGGGATAGTTTGTGGTTAGAGCATGTGAATGTTCTTCTGACAGCATAAACTGACACACAGACACCCGTAGTAACTGTTATCCCTTCTCGGCCCTTGTTGCCTTTTTTTTTTTTTTAAGAGCATCCTATAGAGATCTGAGAACACTGTTTACAAACCTTTTGTGCAGTTATCCTCTCATTAGTAGCATTTATTTATTTTAAATATTTCTATCCTGACTTTATCGCCTTGCACTCATGGTGGCCAGCAATATAGCAACCAGACTGCAATGATGCATATTTTAATCTGTTTTAATTTTGTCAACTGATTATTTAGTTTACCTACTCAGAGTTCAGACTTAACACACAGAAGAGTAAAATTAAAACACAAAGGATCAGCAAATCCACAGCCAAATCTGAACAACTGCTCAAGACTAGCATATAAGAAAGACTTGGTTGTAAATTGGCTCAGTAAGAACCAGAGACGTGCCTGACACCATGGCTGTGTGACAATGGACAGATGTTTTGTCTCATGCACAGGCATTCTGGGCTCCGATTTCAGTGAGGTCACTGTACAGCTGTGTCAATATTTGATCCGCCCATGATTTAGAGGAGATTCCCGGAACAGGAAAAATACAACTTCACACCAGCCACTTGAGATTGCTACTCAAAATCCTACTGCCATAATCAATGGCTTACAACACAGTAACTGCTTGCAAACTCACCACAGGCATGCACGACACATGGGACATCAGCAGTGTGTGTCAATGGCCATTTTCAAATGGGGTGCCAACGTGGGGTAGCAGAGACAATACAAAAGATTTGTAAAATATTGCTACTGGCCCACAAGGTATGTACAAGAAACCATCATGTGGTAGATGGTCATCTTTGGCCACCATCCAGATACCCAAACTACTCACCCAGCACCCCATCTAAATGTGTTTTCTGTCAGCAGAAAATCACTGCAGATGGACTTCGCTGTGAGTCAGTGTGGTGTAATGGTAAGAGTGTTAGATTAGGACAGGAGATCCAGGTTGAGATCCCCACTCTGACATGAAGCTTGGATGATCTTGCGCTTTAATTAAGCTTGACTAGTTTAGTGAGGGTAGCTGTGTTGGTCTTCAGTAGAAGAGCTAGATTCAAGTCCAGTAGCACTTTAGAGACCAAGATGATTTGGGAGGCTTTTGAGAGTCAAAGCTGATGAGGGCAGCTCTCACTCTTGAAAGCTTGTACCCCGGAAATCATACTGGTCTCCAAGGTGATTCTGGACTTGAATCTAGCTCTTCTGCTTTACTAGCGTGTTGCGAGGGTAAGATAAGGAGGACCATGCACACAACCCTAAGCTCTTTGGAGGAAGAGCAAGATAAAAATGTAATAAAATAATACAAATATGTTGACTTGAGATCATACTATTCAATCACAAACCTACAGGATGGCTTTGGACAAGTCCCTCTCTCTTACTTTCAGTTCCCCAGCTGCTGAGAAACAAACGACCCATTGTCACAGGATTCCTAATGACTGAAAAATATTGTGAAGCATTACAATGTAAATATTGGATATTCCGTTTAGTGGTAAATTCAAATTTCCTAGGACAAATGGCAACACTGTACCAGGTTAGCAAGGTGTAAAACAATCCACACAGTGCAGATTTAACAAACCCAACCAAGTACATCCAGAATCTCTTATCAAGGGAATTTTAAGTGCAATGGAGGTTCAATTACAAACATAAAAGAGAATCAAGGAAAAACTATCCTGAGGCACTAGGGAAAGCAGACTGGACAATATTACAAGTGGATTTGAGGTCAAAGGCCTACTTCATTCATGTGCAATTCACATCAGTAAGCATGTGACCAGCTGCCACATTTATCTTCAAGGACTATAAAAGCTGTATGAGTTTTGCATCAAACTGAGCCCTCCAAAGAATAACAACTCCCAGTGCATTCAAAACTCAGGGGCAGTTTTATTTATTTTTTCACATTTGACCCCTCTACTTGCAACCTAAAAGTACAGTTCAGCAACAGATGTCATGTGAGGCTGATGTCTGATTGTGTGTGTCAAAAAAACAAAACCCAGCTTGGAGGGTATAGGGTCAGCATTTCGATTATATCACTGGAAAGTTATTATCTAAAAATATTTATATCCTACTCTTGTCCTAAAACTCTCTAAAGTGGCTTATCACTACTACAGGAAAAGCAAAAATAATACAACATTTAAAGAAAGAAGCCAAGTAGAGGCACCAAAATGAATCTTCTAAAATCACGGGAAAATAAAGGTGGCTTAACCTGCTGACTAGAAGATAATCTATGAGGAGGGTCAAGAACAGGATACCTCAGAGAAAAAGTTCCATTCTCAGTTGGCCTTTGTTTAACCTAGGAAGGTGGTGGCACCAGAGGACAGCCTCTGGAGCAGACCCGAGGACTGGCAGATTCAGATGGGAAGAGGCAGTCCTTCTGGTACCCTATTCCCAAGCTTGCTTTGAACTTTGAATTGTATCTGGAAAACAAACTGGAAGCCAGTGAAGATCTTTCAGCCCTGATGGAATAGACTGTGACCAGGGAATCCCTGTTAAACTGACTACCATACTTTGGACCACATGAAGTTTCCAAATAGTCTGTAAAAACAGCCCCATATACAGTGCATCGTAATTATCTAAACTAAATGTTAGCAGAGCATGGATAACTATGCTTAGTCCAGGAGAAGCTATTGCTGGTGCACCAGCCTAAACTAATGGAAAGCACTTTGGGCTATGGATGGCTCCTGAACAGCTGTAGTAAAGGCCAGATCTAATAGGACCTACTAAACTTGGGGCTGCCAACTCTGGGTTAGAAAAGTGGGATATAATGCCATAGATTCCACGCTCCAAAGCAGCCATTTCCTCCAGGTGAACTAATCTGTCACCTGGAGATCAGTTGTAATTCTGGGAGATCTCCAGGTCCCTCCTGAAAGCTGGGAACACTAAAAACTTGATCATTAAAACAGAGTACAAATCTACTCCAAATGATTAGGAAGTGCCTCCTTGATTGAGCTTCAGCTAGTTTTGTATTGATTAGGTTCAGTTTAGCTGCCATCATTCAGCTAGTTACCAACTCTAGGCAACTATTTAGTAGTTTTGCTGCCACTTCTACATGAAAAAGAACTGCATGCCATCAGCACATTGATCACTCCTCATTTCAAACCTCTGAGACTCCCAGAAGGTTCACACTGATGTTGAACAGCACAGAAGACAAAATACATTCCCATAGTATTCCATTGCCCGAGGACCACAGGTAGAGAAGTACCCCAGCACCAGCTTCTGGAACCTACCTGCCAGACAAGAGTGAAATCAGACGAGCGCGCTGCCTCCTTTTTAAATTATTATTTTTATTGGTTTTCTCCAGGAGTTTACATAGTGCAAAGAAACACATTAAGCTGTTGATTCTATAAGATACATTAATGGAAATAACTTATAACTAATCGTGACCTATATAACATCAAATGTCACACTTATATTAAATAATTGAATGGGTATATGGCTATAAAATGTCTATTTTTTGAAGTTGATGTTCTTACATTGTGGATTATGACCTTATGCATTGGAACTGACTTATAAATTTAACCATTTGTGATAAATTTGCTTCAATGGAAGAATATCGTTTGTTACCATGTACTCAAGAACTGGAGCCCATATCCTAACAAATTTAGAATAGACTTAGTTTAATTTTTACTTCATACTACTTCCAATTTGAGTTTGTGGCCACTTTTTAAGCACACAGTGAAACTGAACCAAAACAAAATCCTCAAACCAAGGCCATACAATACTTTTTTTTGCTAGGACCAACCAAAATAACACAAAATAGTGTACAAACTTCCAAGTTATCCAGAACTCTTCATCAAACAGGATATAAGAAACAAAGGTGGCGAGGCGGGGGGCTGTCTCAAGCCATGATCTTAAGAGCTTCTTTTGTAAGCATCCTAAATAAAATAAATCCTGTGTAAAATGCTGAGCAGTATACAGATCCCATCAACCTGTTCTCCTAACAGTGGTAACTTCCCTGATACAAAAATCTCTTCTGTAGAATAGCCTCTAGCATAAATGGGAGGTCCCATGCAGCAGGGAAAATGCCACCATTGATGGAGCAGACCACTGTAGCCCAGGGGTGCTGCCTTTACCCTAGGGTAGCCCCAACAACAGGGGCACCCCCCTTTCTAACCTGAGCCAGAGACCTACGGGCCCAGACCAAGGAAGGCAATCTTGGTTCTGAACCACAAAGGAAAAGCCTTGTAAAAGGATCTCCATTTTCAGGTGGCAAAAAAGGCAGCCCTCGGAGGAGAAAACAACCCCCCACCCCAGGAGAGGCATGCATATGAAAACAATGGGTTCCACCAGGTAGCTATCTGCATTTCTAAAAGCTATTCAGTTGCCACCTGGCAAATAGTCCTCCAATCTCCAGAACTTCACCTAGGCCTTTTGTGTGACCTAGCCCTCCAAGCCTCTTTTTCCTGCTCTAACCCTCATGATACTGAGATAAACCAAAGATACACTCTAAAAGGTAAGTTGAGTATGCTTAATACATATGCTTTATACTTAATAGTAACTTCTCAGTGTACAAAATTTCCCCAAGTTATATAATCTAGCCATACAATATCAAAGTATTTACAATAACAAGATAATACAATAAATTGTCAGTTGCTGCCAACAGCCCGAAGATATCAGTGGAATTCCAAAACAGTTACTGTTGGCATTGTTAAGACTGACTCTGCCTCTCTGGAACGTCACTGGTCATATCCAGGTCTGGCTCCTCCTGATGCCGAACCCCCTGGGACCCAGGATTGGCCCAGGTAATCTTATGTCCCCACCTGAAACAAGCCACTCCAGACCTCCCATTGGTTAGCATTCTTTTACAGAGTCTATATCCGTCCACGCGCACACACCCCA